TTCAGTGTAACAGGATCACTTGTTTACCTGTATTGCCTTCTTTCCTCACATGTCTGGCTTCGCTGTTCGTTTCCACGGTAAAAATCACACCCTTATCACACTCTTCGCAGATGACTTTATCTACGACACTATTAAACATATAATCTCATTTAATAAGCTGCAGCCACCTTAATCGTAGTAGCTATTGGTAATCTAACCTATTCGAAGACTTGCCAGGGGGGGGGGGGCGAGGTTTGTAAGAGCTAGTAGGAAAAGTTTGTAAATGCGCGGTATCAAATGATCTTTTCGCTATAATACCATGAGCTTGAAAAATGTAGGTTACTGGAAAACACAAACATGAAAAAATTATTCTCTTCTAAGAAATTTTTGGTTAGTATAGGTTTAAATCAAACGGAAGTATATATAGATAGTCTTTTCTCGTTACTTGATAAATTAGCGCCCAAAACTGCGTTTACGTTAAGGATATAGCTGAACTTGGTCGACTCGAATGATATTCGAAATTATTATATAATGACGAGCTTTGTCATAGTAATTTGATTAGGTTTTTTTTGTGTAACATTGAGCAATTATCAGTTTCTTGACTGAATAATTTTCCTTTTAGGCCTTTAATGGAATATTTTGGGGATTAGTTTTCTACCCCGAAAACCCATGGTATCGTGGTTTTAGTACTTCAACTTGCCTAAAGCTAAAGGTTGTAAGCTTCAAGTCGTGTTTCCGTAAAAATTACTATGCACGGATTCTGATTAGCCAGAATTATTAGATAGATGTTACTACTTCTATGAGATGCCCATTTGTCCAACGGGTTCTGGTAATTTGTTGGCTCGCGTTAGCTGTCGGACCTATGCACCTTATGCTGTTTACAAGCAAATTAACACGTATTAGACGTCAGCTAGTAAGTTGCTTCTGAAAGCTTTAATTTCATCAGAAATCGACAGCAATGGTTATCAACGTTATGATGTTCTGCACACTTTTCCAAGTAAGTTGTTAATTGTAAGACCTCTCTGGAACACTCTGGAATCAACTAACAACTTGCTGACGAATGTTTGCTTACCCCCCAAATAACCAAGAAAATTGACTACGTTCGGCTGATCCCCCGGTTGTGAAAAATATACGGTTCCACAATAGAGAAAAGACGAGCTCGTCAAAAGCATTGGAGGTTGGGTAAAACTCATTTTAGTCAATACAATATACAACTGGTATACCATATGAAAATGTACATTTTAATTTCTTCAAGTTAAGTTGCTTTCCAAATTTAGGTTTTGTGGTTACACCTCTTAATTCTGAAGGGTTTGAATAAAGCGATCATCGTATAGTTTAAGGACGTTTCATTACTAAAGGTGATTTGAAGGATGCGTTCTATAGAGGGCTAACAGAGGTAATCGGCAAACGCGTTCAGCCACCGTGACGGAGCACAAGTTCAACACAGTGCCGGAAATCCACATTTGTAGTTTCGTTACTTTTTTGCCTATAAGTTACTCGAGTCCTACAAATGCCAGGATGTACTCTATTAGAATCAATAAATTTAGTTAACGTATTTATCCAGAATGACAGTAATAAAGTGATAGACCTAAAACATGTTAGATATCCTCGTATTCCGCGCTATTTAAAGATATATCCGAAACTGTAAAATTTAGTTTCTAAGACGGTTTTATATACAATGAGTGGTGCGTCATCAGTGGCTTTCTCCCAACACAATGGAGCACTGAAACCTTATCGTAAATATTCGCCAACATTACAACACACGTTAGCATTTCCTAAATTAGTCAAATTCGTGGTGTTTTTAAGCTCTTTTGGCTTGAAAATGCAGTAATATGCCTACCCCTTTCTCTATATTGGTCTCCACCTAAATCAAGCACAGAGCGTTTGCACGTGATCATTTGAACTTCGCCTGTCAACATCCAAATTTTGTTACTAGCCCTATAATCCTTTATTAAAAAGTAAATTAGCCATTTATTTCAGATTGATAAGCATTTATTTACTCGTCTCGGTTCAAGCTCTGTCTTCCTAGAAAAAAAATCCTCACCACAATACACTTACGGTGCCGTTTTCTTCAATCCTCAAAACGCTTTCTAAATTCGATCGATAAGATAATAGAGTTCAGCTCCGTTAGGGATTTTTCTTTCGCTTTAGACTCCTTTCTCCTGCAGACTCTTCTCTAGTTTTGGAAGTAGGTTGAGTCACGAGGTGCTGGATTTGATGAATGCAAGGACTGAGCTAATACACACATCCAGTCTATGTTGCAAAAATTACTGTAAGTGGAGGACGGCGCCTTGTCATGGTGGAGTACGAAAAATTTGTTGTGCCTCAGCTTGTGGACTCAAGCAATCCCTTTGTAGCTTATTGACGGTACTTTTCGGTGACGGCGCGAATTCATGATGAACGATTACCCGACGATCGAAAAGCCTTTGATTTTGAGCACCTTCATTTGGGACTGTGGATTGGGAACTGTTTTTGAAGCGATACGCGTATGATGGCCTTCTTTGACCCCTCGTAGCAGCCGTACAGCCGTCTGGCTTTTCTAGAAGTGCGAAAAAGCTTTTCTCACACAATTTTCTTTGCGAATATTCATCCGCTAAGCACTCAGCTGCGTCATGATAAACCTTGCCGTAAGCCTTTCAACGTCCTAACTATTCGACAAAATAGCCTAATAACCTAAACAAAACTAATTAATCTTCGTCTTCTCCGCCAACTCTCCTATGCTGATTTGGCGTTTAGCAAGCACGAAGTAGTTCACCCCTTCTACGCTCTCGTCCACGATCGCTGGCACATGCCGCCCAGAATAGGGATCGATAGGCACCCGTTCGAAACCCTCGAAATGGTTAAGCCGCTTGTTTACTGGCGCTTCATTCAGCGCCTGGTTCCCGTAGACATTCTATAACGTCCACGAAGCATCCGTGCGGTCGATTTCATTTTTCACACACGACCCAATATAGATTTATCATTCCATTTGGAAAGAATCGCAGAACGCTTAATAGATTTACTCAGTCTCAACGAAAAACTCGTGATTGCTATGAAATTCTACCGGTATGTAACAGAGGCCTTGCCGCTTATGCCGAAATATCACGCAGTAACGTTCAAGTTCAAACGATTCGTTCATTTTCGATTAAAAGGCTATAGCGACGGGAGATACGTTTCCCGTTCTAATATCCTCCTTCTTTGTTCCTACCTCAGTTTCCGTGTAATGATTTCGTGTAAGTAGGTAACTATTTCTGATGAAAGATGCTTTGGTGCTTTAGGTATCTTTACTGGCCTTTTAGTTGCAAAGAAGCGAAGCATTTAGAAATTCAGTTCAATGTAGCGTCTAACAACGCTGTATGTTCCAAGTCTGAGAATAACATCAGAAGAACAAACTGCGAGTACGCGTCTAGCTCGTTTAACCTCGTTTACGCTACATTTGTAATTATCATTACGAGCGAAAGTTTATTAGTGTTCCTGTGGCCTAGTTCTCACAGAAGTCCCATTCCGTACGTGCATATATTGGGCTCGTGAGAACGTTTCCTTTTATAAATTTTCAGTTCGACAAAAAAGGCCGTAATGATTTTTTTCTAGCGATTTCAAAAAGGACGGCTAAACCTAATAAAATACACAGGGCAAAAACGATAAATCTGAAATTCGACATAACGTCCAAATCCTATTAGATCATAAAAAATAACTATGCGCTTCCTTAATAAAATATACGACCCTGGTAATTGTGTATTAACGTAGGCCGTTCTTGCTAAAACCAACTGAGCCTTAATACTGTTCCTATTAAAAGAATAAAGAGCAATCATTCAGTCTGAAATTTTACGTCCTTGTCTAGTCCGAAATGTTTTTTAGTGACGAGCTTATTTTACGGCCTTTGAGTTGTGCACTGAAAGCACAATGAGTCAATATGCGCCGCGCTTAGATCTACCCGAGTCCTCATCAGCATTTACAATCGTATTTATTTTATACAACCCTAGCTGATCAGGACGCGTCGCGCACCTTCAAATGGCGTATTTAATTTCTATAATAAAACGCTATTCGCGGTAGAGCTCATGTGCGCGTGTAAGTTAACCATGTTCATATCGTGTAGCCCGGAATCGGTCCCCTTTCACCAGCTGCCACAGATAGCATCCGGCGTTTGTCTGTAAGTGCAAGCTATCCAGTAGGTAGTCGCGCAAGGTTAACGGTCGGCCAGGCCTGTTATCAGGTTAACCAACAAAGGCTGCCATCGGCACACTGCCACGCGCCATCGATCTAGATTCAGTGGTACAAGTGGACCAGCAGCGTCTGATTGTTATACTTGTTCGTCTGATTAAAGGATCTTTTTCGCGCGTACCATTAGTTAGTCGTGTCTCTCGAACTTCTCCCGGCCTCCAGGGTGGCTCAATAATTTCCCTTTTTTTTTTTTTTTTTTCTGAGCTCTGTGTATGTATTCATGGTCCGGCTGAGCGGCGGCCCTCTAGCTGGCGCGATGGAAGGGGACGACCGTAAGGGCGGGGCAGTCGCAGGTCTTGCGTTTCCATTTGCTGTCGTCTCCGGTGTGGCTGCTTATTGCGGTTTCTCTACGTGTGTGTCCCGTCAGGAGTGACGGCAACTGATACGATTCTTAGTAACCTTAGGACAGAAGAGCATGCATGTCTGTAGCAGCAGCAGCTATTGTTGTTGTCGTTACTGCTGCGCCTGTTGGGCGTCTGCATGTTTTGTGCGTGCTGGTGTAAATCTGTGTATTGATGCCCTTAAAACTTAGACAACTGACTATGGCTGGCCACCCAGTTGATTACAGAAAGAAACGAAGCTTACAATAATTGAGATTCTCGAACAAACTCTCGAAAACCTTCTCACTCATCCGGTGGCTGGGCAGAGCGTGCCACTATCGCAGCGGCAACGGGCAGTTTTTCCCTCGGGCTAGCTACGACTCAGCTGGTCGTTCGTCTGCCTGTGCTGTTCGCGTATACTATTTGTAGTATGAAAATCGTCTCTACAAGCGGATACGACCGTCTGAACGAACGCACGGCCGTAAAAGTCGACTAAACGGCCGAAGGTCGGAGCGGCCAGCCAGCCGCCGACGGAGCCCGCCTCCGTCAGTGGACCACCCGCGTGCGGCAGTCACTACTACAGTGGCAGCTCAATCGGAATCTGAACGCAAAACTACGCTCGATCAACGATGGTACCACGACTGATGCAAGTAGTAGGATTAGGAGTAGGAGAAAAACCAGCGGCAGCTGTCGCATTGGAAGTAGCAGCAGCAGCAACAGCGACCGACCGGCGGTCCAAGCGTCGACTGCAAACCGCTAAAGGCGTGGACAACTCAAACAATCAGACGCGAACTAGGCTCTGCTCAGTTCAGATCACGTTTATCGAATATGGAACTGAATTACATAGAGCTTCGAAATTGTCACGCAGACATCAACGTACACTAGCCCGTAGAAAACAGACATCAATAAACACAGCATAGAACAACAATTGCAATAGTAACAGATTTACAAACAGGTTCACGCATATATATATGTATCAGGTTAGGTTCTTGCTTTCGTTTGTCTTTACCAAGTGGCTAGAATCAGCTCCGACGGACCTGGATGGATCTGTTGTGGTCATAGACACTCATGTTGATTAATGTCGTCAGTGTTGCTGTTAAAGGTGCCAGTAGGAAGCAGTCAACGAAAACGAGTAAGCCTTTCTTGCTTTAGGCTTCCGGCCCTAAAGGTGAAACATTAAGGTGTTAAGCGGTTACATTCTGGTGTCGATGTTTTGTGTATGAATAGTAGTAGAAATCCTGCGATCCGCCGTCAACAACAGCTTAGTCACTTCAGAAAGGGTGAGATTGATGCTTCTGAATTTAAGAGGATGCCAGTGTTATCTCCTCCGCATCATGTAGCCTTAGTCAAGGATCGGCGTTAGATAGGAACCGTCTTTCATCCTGACCGTAATTCGCAGCGACTGATGTACCACAAGGGTGTAGACCGTCGCGCATGGTGTTCTCACAAGTGATGCTAATACTTCAGATAGCAGTTGCTTAAGTGCGCGAAACTTTTTGACGTCATTTTGTTTGCTCGTACTCACTCATAAAAGATTATCTATAATCTTTTTTTACATTACTTAATTAAAATATACAGGCTGTATAAATTCGTACACAGGAACATAGCGAAAGTACGCACCTGTTCGTCTATTAGCGATTGCGGTGGTGCGAAATGCCATCGGAATACCTTAAAAACTCCAAAGGGCCAATGAAACCTCTAGCAACATGGCCATGCTTTACATCAAAAACACCTGGAACGTCGACTCCATTGGACGTACTATTGTTAGCACCGCATACGATGCCAAAAGAACCTGCACGTGCGGAAAGAAATGAAAATATGATACCCGCAGAAAAACCGAAAAAGAGTAAAAACCAATCATCATCGAATCGTAAATTGTGGCGTCCATTCGAAGTAAGTTGCCCGCACCCGCAGCCCCACCGAGCATTTCGTTGCTTTTGCGGTAGTGCGTTTGCGCGAAATGAGGAGCTCACTCGTCATCTTCGGATCCACAGCGGACAGCGACCTTTCGAATGTAACCAATGCGGACGCAAATTTGGACGAAAGGATCATCGCGACAAGCATCTGAAGACGCATCTGCGAAATGAATACAAACGCATCCACCGCTGTCCTGTAGGACACTGTCCAGGAAGATATACGCGCACAGACGCCCTGAATCGACATATGCTCGCAACACACGGTTTTCGACGACCCCGTAAGCGGACGATCCAGGAAGGTTCAGCAAAGGACCAGGAAGTATCGACTTTGACATCAAAACCGGTCATGATTTCCCCTGCGTCACTGGCGCCTAGCGCCTCATCGGTGCCACAGCTGCCACATTTAAGATCGGCCCAAATGATAGCAGCAGTGCAAATAGCTCATCAATTACACGGTGAACGGAAGTTGATTCAGGGGTCGAGCGCACAAGCCAGATCCGTTTCCCAGTTCCAACAAGAACTTCAAGGAATGATCGTACGTAATGAAATCTATTCAAGGAGTCCTCTTCCCCTCATGCGTGCTACTTCGGCCGAGCAACATCTACTATGGCAACGCTGGTTGTGAACTGTGACAGCGTGCAGAATACTGCGAACGAATACGTTTTTGTGTGATACGTGTGCGATAGTTTGACTAACGCCTGGCAGGCTGTAACCACCTGTCAAGTTCTATAAGTTCATACTAGTATGACGATAATGACAAAAGTGTTATATTCACGTTTATATGCGCAGGCTACTACGGCTGATATTTGACATGAGTTTACTTCATATGTACATACAGATAATATGCTTAATTGTTTTGGTTACATGTATGAGGCATTAGCTTGTACCTGGTACAAGGTCGAATAGGGAAAGTCGCCTAATTAAAATGCAAGTTTAAATAAAAGAATTTTGTATTTATATAAATTGACTATACTTATTGCATTATAGAAAAAAAAAAAATAGGAGTAACCCTATCATGCTCGGTTCACAGAAAAACACCCATTTAGTGTCTGATGATTACGCGAGCTTTGTAGAGAATCTATAGAAAATCATACAGTCTTTATGGAAAGTTTGACGACGTTCTAAATTTCAAATTACCTATCAAAGAAAGCGTACTGCTTTACCTGCTGGGTAAGCTATATATATATATATATATATCCATCTCACTTAGTGCCTAACCGGTGACAAAAACTACTTAAGTTTTCAGCACTAGAAATTAGACCTGATTCATAATGCCTTCATTGCAATCACTAGAAGATTATACCACGAAATGAGCTGAGGTTAACGGTATACATACATACATACATAAACAGTTTACGTAAATATAGACATACAGAGATATGTATGTGTACGTGTATATATGTCTACGGCAACGGGGTCGCACAAGCAGGCCTCCCGTCGCCCCGGGGTACGTTCGGCGGTCCTATAGTAGTGTTCGTTGTAGTTGCAGCCGTGTGCTCTGCACGCTACCTATATGTCGTCGCTACAATGGGGTTTACTTCAACCTTCTTCCAAAGAGGGATTCACAGATGCCTGGTCCGCGGACGAATAGGCAGGGACATTTCACTCGGAACTAAGTAGCCGTAGGAATCCAGTCTAGCCGTTATGACGCAGTCGCAAAAGTACCCGATTTCTCGAACATTAAACTTAGCTTAAGCCCTAGCTCATCCAGCAACGCTTATTTAGCGCAGAAACTATAGCGGCAAAAGTGTGCCCTCAGCGAAGTGGCTTCCTTTAGAGAAAATTGTTTGTACATTTCTTTCTTGCAGCTTATTTACGTCTGCCATGCACCGGCCTTAAAATTGGCCACTCTTTGTAAATATCGACGCGCTCGCCTCACAATGGCCACTGCCGTTCCTTTGCGAGCCGTTCATACTCTTCAATCCATTGTTTCGGCTTCCTCTCCTCACACACCACCGAGGACGATTCTCACCCAGTCGCTCTGATTTTATGTAGTCATAGAAGTGTGTTTATTAAAAAATAACAAAAATGCTATAAAGAAAGACTTGACGTACTTCAAATTGACAAAGCAGGCTATCTGTGTTTCCATTCGACATATACAGTTAAACCAAAGCAAATGTTTCGATTTTTATGTTCGAGTCATATGTTATATGTTAAGCTGTTAACTTCAAATTAATAATTTTGCTTATTAATGAATAATTAGCTAAGCAAATAAAGTTTTTTCTTTTTACTATAACCTACAAATGTGTAGTTTTAAAGAACACTTACGGCTAGCCTGTGACAACGATGGAATAGAACCGCTCCAAAATGGTCCTAAAAAATTCTGAAGAAAGACACATGGTCATATATTTCATTGTTCTTGTTACTTGCATTTAAATTATCTACGATAACAGTGGCGTCTCAAGAGCCTGAGTCTGGATGCGCTGGGCTTTTTCTTCAATGAAAAGTAGCATGTCACAGTGTTGGGAATACGGTGACAATCGGTCGGAGACAAAGGCTCTCATTGGGGAGTTCCTTAAAAATCATCAGTTCACCTCAGTATGTACACATAGTACAGCAAGCTAATGAATTTTCTATAAGAATAAAACGGTATTAAACCGCTTATAGTACACGGGCATAAAAAGCAAAAAATTACTTAGAAGATAGACTCATGCGGATCCAAATAGACTTCGAATGAAAAAAAAAATCGTGACCAATCGTGATCGTTTCACAGCGAACCCTAGAAAAACGCGATCTTCTATTATCTTCATTTCGTGGCTTATGGCAAGTTCGAACCTTTGTGACGCTCTTCATTTGGTACCTATGCAATACATGTAGTATATTCGTTGTTTTATCATTTTTTTTGCTCAACTGTGCGCTCGACGCACTAAACGCTAGCTGATCTTCTCCCAGAATGGCCTTAAGAGGATGTTCCTACGAAATGAAGTTTGCTTTCCATGAAAAGGTGTGTGCGTGTGTGTGTGTGTGTGTGTGTGTATAGCAAACGCTAGTACTCTTTAGAATTCATTCCAGCGTGCTTAGTAGGGTCTTCGTTGCGCTCAAATATTGTAAGAATACACGGAACATGGACTTCAGGTTCATGTCAAGACCCGTACGCGAACCTATGAGTACTGACATAGCCTACCTTTTGTCATAACTGGTCATTTTAAAAAAAAATACACTATTAAGAGGAGTGCGTACTTTCCATTATTCAATGTAATTGACTGGATCATCATAGTACGATGGTGAAATTATTTATTTATCTTGAAAATGAATAGTTATTGTCTACCAAACAAACGATCGGAGATCACCTATCGATGTCAAACACAAATCTGCCGATTCAAGCAGAGCGATCTTCATGATCATTGAGGTAAGGCGCGAAGAAAGTTATGATCGATATTGTTCGTTGAATGATAAAACAAGCATTAATAATTAGAATGATGCTGATAAAAAAAAAAATGACAAAAACGCAAGGAATAAATGAAGAAAAATGCATTTACTCAATTAGTAAACGCTAATAGATAGCATATAACAACGTTTGTCAGAGTACTGTTGCAGAATAGCAGGCTGGGCAACGTTTTTAAGTTATTATTTGGGTAATTTGTGATACAGAACCTGTTTCACCTTCCGTAGCTTCCAGTATACGATACGGTTGACGGTTACCATGTGCCAACTTTCTGAGGAAACATTCTTTTTTGAAAACCATAAAAATATATATATATTTTTTTTTCTTAAAAATCTTCTCATTTGCGCAGATGTTGTTAAGAGATTGTTGGTCCAACTGGCGCTTAATAATTCCAATCAAAGCCTGTAAAACCCGCTTAGAAACAGTAATAATAAATAGCGACCAGTGGAAACTATACGTGAACTTTAACATGGGTCTTTTCTTAATATACCAGCCAGGAGCAAAATATGCCTAAAAGCAACAATCGCTGCAGGACAACGAAGGGACCTAGGAATAAATTCTTGGAAGCTACTTAAACAATGACGTCTCGTATATTATGTATTATATCGTAATGTTAATAGGGCAGATAAATTTCTTTGAATCTGCAGTGAAAATGTTTATTACGATGTAAAATCATGTCTTAGCGCAGATCACAACGACGGGCGGCAAATTATCCACAGAGTCAGTCCAGGCAGTCATCTAATAGTCTAGGTCAACAATAAACCAAACAGAGATAATGGACTGAGCACACGCATTTGCTTTACGAGGTTCGTCTCTAAGAAAACAAACAAAAAACGATAGTCAGATAGCCATATCTGATACAAATCTCACTCACTGACAGTGTGCAATATCGAACTCCGCCTGTATCAAGTAGGCCATGCCCAATTTATAAAAAAATATTTCATTCGCAAAGCCTACAAATCTTTCCTCTCTGAAATGGTGAAAAGTACCATTGAATGTTTTGGGTAACCCTGAAGAAGAAGAAGGACCAAGATGAAAGCAAATCAATAAATTGTGATCGCCGACAAGATATCCATGGATTGTGGATAGGAAAGAGAGGAGACGCGCAATATCAAAACATACACCTTCAATAGCCAAATGCAGTGGAGTGTTACCTATTGAACCCTCAAATTGCTTGCGGCGTACAACTGGAACAGATTCTGACAACTGTTTACACGAAATAAATCTTTTTGAAGGATAGAGATTTTCTGGCATCCATAATTTTTTGGCCGCATAAAATGGGCTTAGTATCCCGCCTGGTCCACAGTATAATTTGTTCCTTTTTCTGCGTATGTAGCCCAATTGAGCTTGCCTATATTTGTTTTGTCATATTTATGCCGGTAGTACAGGAGACTTTTTTACATCTGAATACTGTTCAGCCATATGTCCTTGTCCTGAAAGGCTGTATTAAATTCTCTGCTGTATTGCTAACCAAGCATGTTGTTTACATCCAAGAAAACTGTGGATTGTAACATTATCTAAGAATAGAATCCGGTCGTAGAACTTATCTTATTGACGTTTAGTTAACGGTGAAGTGCCGACAAGATATAATCACTTCAATGCTTAGCTTAGCACCTGTTCTAAAGCGTTACGTTTGAACTGGCCAGTTAACGGTATTGCGATTCAACGTTTATCGAAATTCGGGACCGGTAGGTGATTCTCACACTTAAGCCATCCTATCATAATAGTATTATCTTTCAAAAGACATTTTTAAGGCTTTTTTTTTTTTTTTTTTTAATCGCTACATGGTAGGAAAAATTCCTTAGGGATTCTTTTGCAGCTAAGCAAAGTTTTATGAATCTTATATAAACAAAAAAAACGAAATTGGGAATATATATATAGTCTTTAAATCACAATTGAATCTGTAAAATGTAGGTGACGAACAGTCTCGATATCAAGCTCAAGTAGAGAACTTTCGTGTCCGTAGTCATATACAGTGAAATACATGTAAATCGTGGAAAGGTACAGTAGAGGTATAGACAAATTTACGTTTTCATAGTGTGCCTCATTCTAAAGTAGCAGCGTATGGCTGGGAAGCAAGCTGTTTCAGAAGTCAATGGGGGCTAGGTTATTTATAACCTAGCCCCCAAAAAATCCAGGCTTCATAAACTCGATTCAAATGTTGAACATCGCGGTTCAGTTGACACTACTGAAAAATAACTGTCTTATGTGCTTGCACCAGCCCCATCGTACGTAGTAGTAGTAAGTTTATAAATATTGTATTTCGAATTTGTGGGCTTTTTATACACAGATAATATTCTGAGGTATCTTGAAATAAATTGAGTAGCATCCAATTTCATATAGGGCACCAGCATCTTCTAGTCTCGGTCGTTTTTTTGCGTGAATTAACGAGTTCATGACCGTGGATCTAGCATTATCTAATTTTTGCACGATTCTAAGTGGGCTTTATGCTATATAAGCATGTATCACGTATGATATACGTGGTGCTCGGAATAGCGTTTGGACGCCACCTTACTATGTAATGACAAAGAACAAAGACAAATCACCAAGGCTGGTTCTCCATAAGTAACCTGAATGGCTCAGATAGACGGCTAAGCCGTTCTCTATGCTTTGGAACTGGACAGGAGCTCCTCAGTTGGGACACGAACTTATGGTAGAAAACACCGCGTTTCACATCATGACTGACATTTCACCGTGTAGGCCCAGTTTTCGCGCGGGTTTCAACTGCGGTAGGCCCTTTACTGGATGACCCTTATATTAATAATGCAGAACATTCACACAACTAGGACGTGAAGATCTTAATCTCTACTGGACACGACAGCGATAACCACCGACTTTAATATATTAATCTTTTACGTTACTAGACACGTGTATCGTTTAGCCTTTTTGCCTGATGTTTGTATTTGCTCTGGGTGTATATTTATGCAAAATCGGCTTGTAATCAACCCAGGGAGTGAACGGACTCTATTAAATAGAGTATTGTCGGCAAATATTGTAAGGAAACATGATTAAAGCATGCAGCTACAGTACGCTTGGGTCGTAAGTTGAACTTGTGCAGGTTTAATATTTTTACTTACTAAAACCAGTCACCTCGCTCGGACCTTCATTTATAGGAGTAAGGGCGGGTTGGAGGAAGTGGCATAGTGATACGTAAGTTTCATGCATTAGTTTCTCTGTTTATTATCAGCTTCGGAGATGTGGGGACGTGAACCCTCGGTCTCAGTTGCGTTAAATCCAGAACAGCAACTACTCGTTTATCTGCCGGGGGCGGCCGGAACCTATGCCACCATTCAACATCAGCCTTCTCTGCCACAAATTGTGAACGATCAGTCGCAGAATAATGGCAGCGTACATATGTATGCAGGTCACCAAAAAGGGGGGTCGCAGCTTGGAACAGTCTTGAAGAAATCAACAGCGAGGATTAGTGACGATAGTGGCACCATCGCTGGCAAAGAGAAACATGACGTTACAAGAGTAAGAGCCTTTAGGACTTCTATTTAATAGAAGCTGTTTCCTTGCCATATTTAGAAGCTGTACGTGGTGATTTTACATTATGTCAAACAAACGCCGACAAATATAAGCGACAATATTTTTCAGAAAACTATGTGAAGCCTGCTAAATGCTACAGGGATATAACCTTGAAATTACGTATCAGCATATAAGTTAGTTAATTTTCGTAAGGATAGCTATCTGTGCACGTAAACGTTTTTGAAATTCAAAATTCTATTGTCTCCTTAAGCAGTCTTAGATGGTCACGAATTTTTGATATTAGCAGGAAACTTACGAGAACCAGGTAGGTGCCACATAAAATGGTACAGAAATTGATCGTAACGAGCTTTCGATCGGTGTAATACCTTCGTCCGTAACCACAAAGGTTCCATTATTAACCACATATCCGCCACTGCCCCATATTGACTTCCCTGGAAACTAAACACAGTCGGTATTGATTCTGTAGCCCAAGGTAAAAAAGATCCCGTCAAAATGGTTGAAATTACCAATGGTGTACTATGAAGTCGTCCCATAAATATTTGGCTATAGAACGAGAAATGCCTATACTTGGTTCATCTTCGTGATGCCCGCACGATTTGTCCTGGTAGCAAAGCTTTATCATATTGTATAGCGGAGAAATGCATTTACATAGGAAAAGGAAGTTAGATAGAAATGTAACGGTTGTAATACGAACCTATTCCGGATCCTCAGTTTTGCTATTGTGAGCGATTTTTCGAATAGTTTGCCAGCGAGGGCATTTAAACGAACGCTTACGTTCCTTTCTGTGCAGGTATCTTTCTCCGCTCAAGAGAGAGAATTAAATGATGATATTTTCTCCAGGAGAGCAAGCTTCAAAGTGAAAGTGGACAGTATGGAAAAAATGGTTCAAGAGCTACAACGGAAGCAACTTCAAGGGCGTTGGTATCGTTGAACTCAGAATGTGATTGTTTTCTTCGTTACCATTTATTATAGACGTAAATCAGTGTCTTCAAGTGAGTTTCTGAACTAGCTATGATTACAATGACTCTGTACGCAAAGTCATTGGATGTAGCGTTTTTTCAAAGAGCTTCCCAAGAAGACACCACACAAGAAGAATTTTTGTTTGTAAAAATGAGAAGTCGTTAAAATCGTTTGATCCTACTAGTAGGCAGATCGACCTGAATAGGCTGCGATTTGAACTATGACCTTGTTCCTGTTAGGAGAAAGCTTAGAGGCTAGTCTGCGTATGGTTGCGTAGCATTGGGGCAGTAACTAGACAAGTTCTTATTTGTCTAGTTTATTTTCTTATTCTTATTTGCGCGGTTGGTCAGGTAATCAAGCCAGCGTTCTTCTAGAAAGAACTGATCCTGAGAGGTGTTGTCCGGTAGGCCTAACTCTAGATAAGAGAAAGCAAAGCCCCACGAACAAAAGCGACGTTGCGACTATACAAGGTTAGTTATTTTCCCTGGAAAACATTCCTAAGGGCAAATGAAGGTAAATTTGCTATGGGTTCCTGGACACAAATATTTATATAGATGTGAAGTTTTTTTCGAAATCAAACATGCAGCCTTTGATTTTCTATAATCTGCACAAGGAACTGTGATAAATTCTAGTATGTATTCTGTTAAGTCATATTTCAACTATGATATATTAATTAGAACTATGTAGGTGGAAAAATGACCGCGGCGTCCTGTTCGCACTTCTGTCTGCCCCCACCTCGTCCTTCTTTGCAAGAAAGGAGTTTTCTTTTAGGTTTAAGTTTACTTTTTTCGGCATCTTTTCAGCAGCGTTGTACTATACAGATCACGCTTCCCTGAAAGCATGGTTTGACAAAAACCAGTTGAAAGCCTTTATCGTATATAGGAAGGAAGAAAGAAAGGAAGGAAGGAAGGAATGTTCAATTAGAGAATAACGGCGACATCTTCCGAGTGTGGGATGCCTGCCATGGAGAAGCGTTTAGTCGTGTTTCAATTGGAAATCAAAATTAAATATAGGATTTCATTTTATATTTATATATAATAAGGTATACGAAAATCAGTGCTTTGTACCGGCGGAAGGAGTGTTGTTTTTGTTTTGCATGGTAATGACTTGTAATGTGATTTTGTCGTAAGTGGTACTTGGTAATGACGGGAACGCGGTTGTACAAAGGATTTCTTCAACGGAGGACGTTAACGGCCTACTGTGCGATTCTCGCTGCAAGCCAATCAATATCAGCAACGCAAAGCACCATGGGCCTTCGTTCCGAAATGGGGTTGGAAGTGCTCTTGCGAACGCACTTACAGACGTCGAGTTCGAATTGAGGACTCATATCGCTAGCCTTAAAACGACTGATGGCCAGAAACTGATGAACGTTTGTCCTGAAATCAAAATCGTTCTTGATGCATACAGCAAGGCTCTTGATAAGGCTAAAAGTGAGGCAGGATTAACGGAAGGAAGAGATCGAGCTTCACAAGTGGCGATTCGTAAGTTTTTATATCCATACGTTATTCGATCATATTTGGAATGTAGCAATAAATAAATCTATTTATTGCTGTTCAAGAACTCGTATAGTAATCCAATTATATAGCCAACTAATTATGTAGCAGTAGCAATATTATCAAGAGTAATTTTAATACTGTACATTTGGCAAGCTTCGGGAACAGAGGTGATAATCATTTCTGGGCCTTCCACACGATGTATTATGTTAAAAGGAGATCGCTACACAGAGTAGGTGTGTGAAACCGTAAATAGCAAAGGAAAAACGTCGCCTCAGCCCTGTAATCTGAAATATAGACGGTTTTAGCCAATCGGTCGAAAGTGTTTTTTGAACAAGGCGCCACCATTCATTGGCGCTGCGGAGCCCACTAGCATGAAAGGTATATATAAGGTAATGAAAGGTATATTTTTATTTCAATTCTTTTAGCTATTACTGATTAAATTAACACTTGTTATCCTTATTTAATTCTACGCATTATCCGTTGCAACATTAAAACTATTGATCATTTTATAATATTTGCAGTACCAAAAACGCTAAGTGAACTCAAGTTGGAAAGTGTCCTTACGGACTGCCTTTCATTACTCGCGCGAGAAAACGACGACACTTCGAGTTTTAAGATGACTGATTCCAAATATAACTCGTCTAACCAAAGGTAACTGTCAGCTTTTCGTCGAAACGGACATTTTAATATAAAAAAAAACTTAACAGGATACACAAAATTGAATAAATCCGTGAAAAAAAAAAGTGCGATTTTTTTTGTAAGTTTCGGTTTGCGTAAAGTTGCGAACATAAATCTAGACTGCGGCAAAGTACAAAAATCGTCTCTGAGAGACAAAATTTCACAGAAAGTGTCACAACGGATGCTTTGCCGCTGTGTCCTGAGGTTTTGAGGCGGGCTCCGCTGGTAAATGATGAACCTATGATCATGCGGAATAACCAGGTGCCTTTAAATTGTCAAAATCCGTCGGAAAATTGTAATCGTTATTGTCTATTTACCTCTAACCTTGAACAATCGCATATAACGTTAGGTACAGATTAGGCTCTATAGTGACTATGAACGTGCTTACCAGCCAGTTTCAAAAGCACAGTTCTTCTTCAAGTTAGTTCCAACAACAAAGTTCGTGCTGCAAAAAGGATTCGATCGATTCGATTTTAGAACGATGAGGATAGGCTGCTAGTGTCATTGCAGGCCACTCAAAAGCCTGGTGTTTTCCGATCACGTGGGAGCTTTAGGCTTGAAAGCAATACAAATACACTTCGTATCAAGAACTACAAAATACAGAAGCTGAGATTTTTGAAAAAGCTTTGTTAACTTCAAGGATAGGATTACAAGTTCTCTATTTGTAATGCACTCACAGGTAAATTCAATACATAAGTTTCCAGGTAAAATAAGGCCGTCGCGTGTATGTACATCTTGTAAATTTCGATTATTTATCAAATTTGGTGACGGACAAGTTAAAAAATATTGATATTGTTGTTAAGTTCAACGTAAAATGCAAATTGGGGCATTTAGCATGATCCAGTGTTTAATGAAAATGAATATGCTGTAGGGCAATAGGGAGGGAGATGGCTATTTATCTATGAAAATGATTTTTAAATACTTTTTATTTTATTTGTTTTTATTTAAAATGTTCATGATAGCCAACTGTGACAACAGTAATATTTGGAAATAACGATCGCACCCCACTGGTGCATTTGATTGACCGTTCGTCGAGGTAAGGATCACCACGAATGCTCCACTGATTGTGAAGTCGTAGAAATTAATAAATACGCTGGCTCAATAGAGATTTCGTACAGATGATAGATAGAATCGTGTTTCCCGATTCTCTTTTGTTTGTTAAAAATTGATAAAGTTATGGAAATGGCAGCGATTAAGAAGCAGACCGAAAATCAAAAATTGAGTGCCTTACCCATGATTACGTGATTAATTCTTTTAGCGAATGCAAGAAAAATCAATGCCTTGTTTCGTTCAAGTGAGTGACGCAAAACGTAAATATGCAGGATAACAGGTGCGGCACAGTAAACAAAGAACCAGAGACAAACCATATATAATATAACTATAATTGATCAGAGGTACTAATAAAATGGACAAGTTCTAGTTGGATGTTGCAAATTTCTCTACAAAAATCAAACAGCAGTGGTCGTTAGTTGAGTATGCGGGAAGCTAGTGGTGACGCTGGAAATATATTGTAATTGACCCAAGTTCTCGAGTTTGGTACCTACGCCCCTTGGGCATACCTCCGCGAAAAAAAGTAGAAGAAGCTTGCTATTCACGGAAATTCCAAGTAGAACTCGAGATGGGTTTAAATAGGGATCTTCGTAATTACTTCGCATAGAAGCCTTAAATTTGATAGTGTCATAAAATTGTCATAAATTGGACCGGAAGTTAAAGTAGCATTCACTCATTTTTTCACGACTCGTTTCGATAGCATGGAAGTGTTGCATGCGGTGATGCCACAGTGCCATCGTTGAATCATTTTTAGGACAAATAAAAACGATCCATTGTCCTGTGTTGTGGAACTGTTGTTCGTTAACAATTAATTCTAGTCTTGTTTATTAATTTAAAGCGTCGAATACGATATGTTGTGGACGGTAACCCGAACGGACCAGCTTCAGACTTGTTCCACAGGCAGAAACGATGACAAAGGCGTACTTAACCGCCCGTATGTAATAAACATATTGTTCGAAAGGTAGAAATTTCCTAGTACGCAGTGATACTCCTTAAGGTACTCACAAGTGATATATTTCGTACGAGTTTGCTAAAAGTATAATGCTTTGAATTTGCAGAAAAGCTCTGTTTCATTAAAAGATACGGAAAGAATATTATGTATTCATTGAAACAGAATTTTCTCTTAATGGGCACGGGTTTTTCCTCGCCTTACATATATCTTAGAGAAAAAGTTAGTGAATTAGGACGCGCTACAAAGCATTTAAAATATTATTGAAACTGTTACAATGTTTATATATATTATTACTTATTATTTATTATATTGTAGTATTAAAATCTATGGATATATAGTATATAGTATTGGGAAAGACGCCATACTTGATGTAGCGGAAAGGACTTCACTGAGCTACGAATGCTATGCGAATTACCGGAACTTAAAAGAGTGGGTTGTATGATAGTTAGGTAACATGGGCTCTGAGACTAATCATTAAAACCGTACGATTAAGTTCACATGGCGTAGGCCAGCAATATCGTGAACGGACGTTTTACAATAGCGACTCTCCAGCTGTTCAGGACTTGTCCGCAAATCCGCGAATTTGCGGGTTCATCATTCGATGAACTTTATATATATGTCATCTGTTACTTGTACTACTGAAGATTTAAAATAGCCTAAAAAAATGTTTGGCTATTGGTTTATTTATTGTCAGGGGCTTCAATGGTGGAGTGAGTGCGCATCAGGTTCCCTATTTGGTTCTGGAACAAGCAAAACGTGTTAATGTAAAGGCGTCCATGTTAGCAAGCTTCTGGGACGTGACAGGTTCAGGAATAGTATTATAAGGATATTTCTAGTCGTTTTTGACAGCTCATACTTACGATGTATGCATCGTACGAGCATCGCAGTACGAGCAGAATCGCTCCGCAATACTATAATAAATTTATTCTAATTCTCTATTCAAATAATAATATTCAAGGAACTGCAGTTCCAATCATGCTCAAATCATCGAAAAAAATAACTTTTTTTTTTGCAGTATAATTGTCGTATTATAACATCGTCACCCTTTTTATTTATGGAAGCTTTAGTTATTTTTTCATGATTCTGTAATCTACGTTCTATTCACGTGCTTCAGGTTTTATTTCGTGAGCTCTTTCACTGAGGTACTGAGTGACCAAATCCTACAAGATAACAACAAGCTTGACAAATTAGAACCGGCAAGCTGAAGCTTGTTAAAATACAAAGGGGTTCAGTTGGAAACGAGAAGTCTTCGTAAAAGTCGTAGGTTTCTAGGAAACCTGAGTTTTAAAATCGGATTGTCGGCAGGGATGTATCGCAGTAGGAATAATATTAAATAACTGTGTTCATGGCGAGGGTTTTACCTGAAGCTTTAATAAAGTGTCCGTGAAAAGCAGAGGCCCATAGCCATGCATTGAAGTTGGCTGTATCAGTTTAGACCTAAGGTATATCCTCGTATCGGAATTGTCACTACTACCTTAGAAAATACACAATTTTCTTACTGTAATTTGCTCATTCAATACAAGTGACTTTCATAATTAACTCATAAATGCTAATTAAACGATAACTTCGCAATAGCTCTTTATAATTTTTTAGAATTAGGCTAATTACTAATTAATCAATTTTTGCTGGTTTAGTTCAAAAGTAAATTTAATATGAATTAAAACAAATTTTCAAATCAACCATATCGGTTGTTTCGACAGTGTGATCGGGTATGTATATTATATATATATATATATATATATATATATATATAATGCTTTCTCTTTTTGATAGGGATTTACATAGCCGTTGGGATTTTGTAGTAGAGGCCGAAACACATGAGTTCATCTAAATATCTCTAGATAATTATCGAAATATCTAATAATATATTTCTATTTACAACATAAGGTCGAATTGGCTTTAATATCATATTATTCCCCTTACAATTTATCACTGTTGTGGTATTTTGTAATTATGAAGTCTCCACTCAATTACTACTCGAATTCCGCTCTAACCTACGTTTCTAGAACGTTCGTATAAATGAAGGTTGATTTTTGGCGACGTCAGCCTGAATCGACCCGCGTTCATAACGACGTAGATTTTAAAAAAATATGCGTGTACAATAAGCCCGTTCGTCTTCACTCGCTGGAGGTATTTCTTCAGATATAATGGCAGTGTCAAGGCCGTACGGTATTACCGTGTATAAAACATCTATTGATGATTGCGTTATAATTAGGCGCTGCCGCATCTTCTAGATTCTCCGAAGTAAACATATTTCTAGCATATAGTTTGCTTTCCATTTCAGTTGTACTGCCCAAGAGGCTTGCTTTACGCAGCTCGGAAGTACCAATAAAAACATCGCAAACATACAAGCAGAGAATATTTGGTGCTCTGTGTTGCGTGCTTCGATAGCCACGGCCTTTTTGGATTTGGCGACCGTTAGACTCCTTATAGCAGAGATCACAGTTCTAATTGGGAATCCCATGAAACAGGGTTTCAGTCGAGCGTCCGAAGCTCGCCGATGTTTCTCTTTTAGTTCGATAAATTAGCGTAACAGTTTTTTATTTGGTATCGGTTTGAAGTATGCCAAACGCGCCACTCGATTTTACTGTCGTATCGTCTGCTGGTAACGCCACCACCGTCGTTGGGGTTAGTAACTGCCCCTGATCAGATCGCACACCTGTTACAGGTGCACGGCCCCATTCAGATCCTTAATCGATTAGCCCAATAAACAGCACGAGACAGATTCAATCGTTCAAAAGCTTTCCACTGACCCTTGTTGTTTGTGGAAAATCAGAAAAAAAAAAGTACACAAAATGGGAACTGACTTGTCCGTTTGAGAAGCATCAAACAGTCTGATTTTAATTAGTGTTTGACTGAGGCCTAGTAACGACGCTTTCCACATGTGCTTCGATTTTTTCTCTATATTCGATTTCTATTTAAATTTCTCCTTTCTAAATTTCTCTCCAAAGAAAAATTTAGAAGGGCATATTTTTGTACGATGTTTCGGCATAATAGTTAACTGCGAGTACAGTGAATACGAACCGTTCAGCGTACCTCTGAATACTAAAGATGCCAAGTAGCAATTCGTCGTAAATTGAACTAAAAATGTCTATATTATGAAGTACTAATTGCATAAATAAATGTAGTAGAAAAAATCCATGTATGTAGCTAGCAATCTGCCCCTTGTAGCAATTTCGAAAAAGTCAACACAGTGGACATGACATTAGATAAACGGCGTGAAGGGCTGCCCACGAAGGGGTCCATGTTACAATGTAGCCACGCTATATAAGAATCAACAGTACGCTTGTATGTTGCAGTTACGCTAACGGATCTCGTCTTCTTGAACCAAACGATTCTCAATAATCTACCAATATCAGATAATGTTTTTGTCAATTAAAAGATAATAATGGTATACAGTCTAATTTAAATTAAAAATTAATTTAAATTTTTCGGATTTTAGGCGGTAACAAGCCTAATTAGGGAAGTTTAACAGACAAGTCGCTACCAAGGGAGTATATTTTCTTACATCTAAATTAGTGTCGATTACTAACTATCAATGATGAGTGATTGATGTCAACGAGCACACACGTGTGTTCGAACCAGACCATGATTAACATTGTTAATATTACTAACGTAGCAATACGTAAAAGTTGCTTTTTTTTTTGCTACTGAATTGCCCAGCGATGTGGCAGAGTCGCGTTTCGGTTAAGCAAGAAAACTAGGTTGAAACGTTGAAATGAAATGATACAAAGAATCGCTTTAGTTAGACCGTGGTCGACTTTGACCAAGCAAACCGACCGTGAGAAAAATTTAAAGGCTCTTGAATTGTGCTATGGTTCTTTTAATGTTTCCTCAACTGTGCCACTACTATATGTATACTACAAGCGTTTGAGGTTTCATTTGGTATGGATGCAGGCAGGTGACAACGGTGTGGAAGAGGTGTACATTTTCAATAAGACAAACTATCTAACTAGAACTAAACAAGTATCCAAACATTTTTGATTGAAGCTGGGTTTTTTTTGACTGCGTACTCATAATAATCCATGGTTTTACTTTGTTTTTCTTAATGAACGCTACAAACACTATTCGAATATAATATCCTGTAATTTATCGCAGAAACACTTTTCACACCTGATAGTAACGAGCTCCTCACGCAAGCTTCATCACATAGCACGAAATTCAATTTTAGAAGAAAGCTAGTGCTTCGGAAATCCAATATATAAAATGATGATGATCGTCGTTAAGCGTTAAGCTATTGGGTTCGAAAAACGCTATTTCAGATATAGTTCTATATACAGATATAGACTAAAAGTGTTCGTCGGTAGTGGGAACATAAGTTGCTTGAGTGTGTCAAGAACAATCTGGGTTGTCGTATCGATTTTCCGGCAGATCCACGAGTCTCACTATAGTCTACCCAGACAAATGGTCTAGTTTGACCAGCCTTTGATATTAACAGAATTCAATATATATTAAGTCAACTTAAAGGTATGTATACAACGATGCGCTTTTCTCGCCTGTTGTCTCCTGATGGCGAAATGTGCCATACGCCATGAGCCGATACGCCTGTGCTCCTCCTGCTGTCCCTTTGTCCTCATCCCAAAGCCTGCTTTGGGTCTGGAAACACCTGGTGACAATGACAACAATTTTTTATACCTACCATTCGTTTTGCAGAAAAGCAAAAAAAAGCTGCCGAAACAACCCTATGTAGATCTACTATTCAAATAGCGTTTCAACATGGCCTGGACAATGCACATCACTGACATTTTGAAGGAAAATACCTGTTACGTGAACTCATATCTTCTATAGATAACTCTATAACTAACACCGCCCATAGCTACAAAGCAAGAAAAGGGCCTTTCAATAGTATATCACACTGGATTATCAACAAACAAAGAGTTAAAACAAGTGAAATGTCAAACCAAAACCATCTTTACTTCCCAAACAGCCTAGTTGTATGTATTAAAGTTGAGAGAATCTAACAATCCTACATAGGCCTTGGTAAAAGCTCGATGCATATGGGTAACGAGGCCAATTGAATGTCTACATCACACTTTGGTATATTCTGGTCTTCGTTTACATGTAACTGGGTTGAAATCAGTCGTGTCCTTGCTGTGCAATCGCCATATCGTGACCTTATGGTTTCGGAGTTTCGGGGGAACATACTACTACTATATGATAAGCGACCTTTTTGGGAAAAAGCTTTAACTTAATAAAAATGGATTCTGTTTATGACTTTAAATTTTATGCTATACGCTGCATTTTGTGAATATCAGCAATCAATCTCACTGAATATCTACGAAATAAAAATTAAGTCAGTTATGAAATTGTTGCCCGCTAGATTCCTATGGTGGAGTCCCTTCTTCGGGTGAAGCTCACTTTATGGTTGCAAAACGCAGTTTATCTCTAAAAGCTATTCCTCACTACCACCTGATCCCCTAGTCTATCTTAGTTGTGATTAGCCATTAATTTCATTTTGTTGAATCGCACAGGCCACGGAGTTCTCGAAGCAAAACTAGCCATGTTATCATTAACTTCACTATCCAATACGGAAAGTAGGTGATTTGCCTTTTTTTTTTTTGGGTTTTTTTTTTTACCTATAGCTTTACGAAAAGCTACAGGAATGGTGTTCACTCTTGGCTAGCTACCGGCGAAATGATTAAAGCATAGAGCCCTTGAACTAGCAGAACTGTACATTGAAACGTTCGTTAACGTCACATGATCACGTCAAATTTGCTTTCTACGCTACGAGAAGCTGTAATTATTGTAGGAAATCAGCGGTACCGATGCGTCAACTTCCCCATGTAGTGTACACGGCCAAGATCTATCAGAGTGCAGTATGGCCGTGGAAATAGATTTTTGAGAACTTAGGAACACATTCGAGGCCTTTGTGGAACTTGACGACCAGAATATGTTACTCATTATTATCCTCCTCTATTCGCAATGAATTTTATTTAATCATGGTTAGGCAATGAAGGCTTTACGCAATCCACCTAATCAATCAGGTTCGAACTATATTTTCGTCGAAGCTGTACCAGAATACTTCTAATCGCAGTTTCAGTTACAAGATAAATAACTTGGAATAAGTTGAAGGTAGGCGTAAATAATTTGCACGATCATTGTTGTTCGCTTGTTCAAATTGTGAGTGAGGTAGAAGCGCAACAAGGAAACACGTAGGCGATACCAGCTACGCCATAACAGTTACATACATGACGAGCAGGCAATGTAAACGATAAACTGACGTAACTTTACGGTGAGCTGAACATAAAAACATTTTTAAAACTAGTTGATAACTAGATGTCTGGCCTAAGGCCTCGCAGTTTTCCTTCAGTCGCCGGTACAGACGGCCGTGCTCATATCTGTCCCTAGTAGGTCTAGCGACACATTGGAAAGGTTCCATTAAAGTTTTACCCTAAACAGTTCCGCAAAGAGCAATTCTAAAGGTTCAAAGTCTTAACCGGTGTATATTTCCAGATTAGCAACCCTGATTACTAATAATCGTATTAGTTAACCTTTTAGCTAGACATTACTATTAAAAAGGCATCAAACATTTCCCCAGGGGGTCACATCTCACATTGCCCATTCAAAGTTTTGGATTCACACCTCCGCCTACTTCTGTGCAACTGTTCCCTGTTGTTGTGAAACCGATTTACCCAAAATATTATTCAATGCAGCTTGGAACTCTTTCGGTTCACAATGGGTAACGAAGTTGCTACGTTTCTTCAAGAGATTGAAACGTAAGTATGAATAGAGTTCATGTTTGATGTACAGAAACATTTCGACGAATAGCATTACACGATGGTTGTTACACGTAGGCCATTTTTGACCACCCGTTCAATACGGCGCGAGCGATTTTCCGCATACGACTGAAAATAATCGTAGAAGATTGCAATGAAAATTGCTAACAAGGTGCCTAGGCGAAGCTCGATAATGCCAATCGTGCCATTGTTAAGAAGTCGAATCGGCATGAAGAAGCAAGGGTTCAAGCATTATGGTATATCTAGCCAACTGCCGTGAGACCTGACCAAGATTTGCGTTAGTTCTTCTGAAACACTGCCACATACGCAACTAAGGCCTTGAAAGAGCGACTCTCATTGGCCTGCGGCTGTAAAGTTGGTCCTATGACCTGCTCTTAAACGAATACCGTGTACCGGTATGAAAAACCGACACACATGATTGATCTGATTAGTTTTAGATACGATGAATGTAAATAAGGCCTTTTCCCGTGTGCTTACGTATGGGATTAGATAGTATCTACAAAATGCCCGAAATAGTACCGTGTGATGTAAACACTGGACGTTGGTTAATCATGGACGCTGTTAGAATTTTTTGGCTCAATCGAAATAGACTAAGCTACGAATACAATAGCAGCTCATAAATAAAAGAAAAAAGTGTAAACATTTTAATAGGAGTCGATAGGCTTATGATCTTATCGATCTGCTTATGCCAAGCAGTGCAAAAAACAGCTGATGACTGAATCTACTGCGGTAGTGATGGGATAGACAATTTATTGCTGAGTATATAAGAAGCGCATTGTGCCTTTGTGTTTAGCTGGCGTCAACGTTATTAGAGTCTGTGCGCCTAATATATAGTTGAAAACTCCAATGATCAACTGTACATCTTAGGAACTTCAGTTGTATGAAATGATTGAAAACTGAACCGAATTGGAAAAAACGAAAATTACGGTAACTTTATTGAGCAACACGCTTCGACTAAGTTAACCCTAAAGTAACATGAGTGTTTTAGTTTGTTACGTGGACGTGCATAGGTAAATACGCATAAGGCTTGCAATACCTGGAACACCTGGAGACAATATCTGGAAGCTTCCAACGGGCGTCTGGTTCGAAAACGAGCTTTGACTGCGAAAATCAAAAAGCACAATTAATTCAAAACGTATCGTGGCCTTCCGTATGTAACGTTTCAAATCGCCAACGTCTGATACGCAATACAGTTTAGCACATACCTTATCTATATATATAGAGTATATAAAACACTCGGAACAACGTAATCTGAACTGAATTGAAGGAACTTTTATTTGATAAGCCTATGAAATAACCTAGGTCATCAAAGATTTGGACAGTATTCGTCGAAAATAAATTATCGGTGTAGGCATGCGTATGTACGTACTTGCAGTCTTCGCTTAGTGGTATTCTCTTAGTATTTACAGGAAGCGGCTTTAACGTGTTACGGTACCGTATTTATCACACCACTGTCATATATTAATTTATGACATCCAGCTATCTCGGATAGAATAAGTGTTTATTCTGTTCACAGGAACAAACATAATTTATAGCATCGACCGAAAACTCCGACCGAATTGGCTCTCGTTTATCTGTACGCCAGCATGGATCTTATTATATGAATTATGAACACGGTTAAGTAATTAAATAATGCTGACTTACTAATTCAATATGCGCAGTTTGTGGGATTTCCTTTATTGTAAGTGGTTGCAACTCGTAACATTTTTTGGAGACTCGAGGGTACGGGACAGCGCTTCACAGTTACTCGTCAAGGATGACTGCCCTTCTGATCAACCGAGACGTGAGAGCCTGATAGCATGGTGGAAGGCGACGGGCCAAAGGCCGAAACTGGACATCGAGCATGACCCACAGTCGTCACCCGTTACAGCAGCGGAACCAATTCTTAAAACCGAATGCTCCGAGCGATCTAGCTGCAAAGAAAAGGGAACCCGTGATTCGAATGAAGTAAGGCGTTCAGGGAACTTTTCATTTAGACGATGCTTTCTATGGAACACATAAAAACTTAAATTACATTCCTCTATGTATATATATATAGATTACGTTGAGTTTAAATCTTGTTTTTCTAGTTTCTCATATCATATACTGGAATAATAGGTGAGGTATGTACCATAAACAGCAACAGGAAACGGATCTCTTTATATTCATTGCTTAAGCCAGGGGGCGATAGATATCATTACCTACATGAAGAACACGCTCTCGTAATATGATTAGCTATTGCTCTGGGGGCCACGCCGCTGAGATAAGGAAAAGGAGGCATGTATGGAACAAAAAAAAATGTTAATGATGTACTACTAATCAGTACATCATTAACAGTTGAATTTTCAGCATAAACTTGTCGTCTCTAGATTTTTTATAGAACGTTTTTAGGCATGGTAACTACGGTATATTATAATGCCGAATGCAAGAAGCTGAAGTTGATGAGCTTTCAGCAACTAGGACTTCGTAAATTTGCGTGCACTCGGTATGAACATGGTGTTTGTTAATGGAAATGTAGAACGACTAGAGATGCACATGTTAAGAGGGCGATGAATGGAAAAAATTTAAGTCTCAGTTGACAAGACCATATGATCGAATGCAAGTCATTTTGCATTAGGTACTGATAGCATCATTATAATTGCCGATTCTGGTGTACCTATCGGTCGTTTATCTAGTCGAAAATTCTTACAATGATTCAGAGGAGAAAAAAGAGACCGCAAATCTATCGAGTGTCCGTATGTGAACATTGAGAAAAATAACACGGTCGTGTGACGTGGCGCTACTTAGAAACATTTTTCGAAATCTCGGAACTAAAACCGCGGACTACGTTTCATATGATTAATAGCCAAGTTGATGTTCGGCTTGTTGTCGACGTTCTTGAAATGGAAACACGAATGCGTTGTATTGTTAACATGCACCGCTGTCCTTTTCGCTGAACTGTAGGCCTCAATTATGCGTTGAAATACTTACTAATAATTATTAAAATAATAGTACTTAGTATTGTAAGTTATCTATGTGAACATTCGCTTCCGAACAATATCAAAAACTTTTCAATGATTTTCCCTTTGTGGCCGCTGTGCATCATTCAAAAGTAATAATAGGTCGAAGTTAGGCTGAAATTTCGATATAGAGACCCCATAACGTTACAAATCGGCCATTAAAACGGCCATTCCTGAGGAGTCTTATAAGGTCGATAAATGACTTCATAAAAAAATCTATAAAAAAAACATCTTTTTTTTTTTTTATATATATATATTTAAGAGTTATTTATAGTTTCCGATATTTTCACGCCAGCTATCTCAATTAAAAAGCTCAAAAGTCTATCGATGGCCAACTGTGACCGCACCCATCTGCATTGACGTTGAACCACGTCGCATAGGCTATGGGACAAAGATTGATCGCAGGCCAATGTACTAAAGTAGCACTTTTTAGTAGGGGGCATTTTTTAGCGCGTCACACAGCTATCCTGTAAGCTGCTAGCCGGAATCACATTGGCCACCAGTGATTTTCGAAAGCATAGGTTTATCTGAACCAACATGGTTCATGTTCTTACGAAGCAACGATACGACAAGCGAGGTTGGCTGGGGGCAGACAAACGAAAGAAAGGATGAAAAGAGCTTGCAAGCAGCAGAGAAGTTAGATAAGCTGACAGGATTGTATTTACCGTACTGACTATACGACCGAGCTATGCAACGCTTTTTGCGTTTCATACATGTCATTATTTGTGTGCGTTTGCGAAACCTTGTGTTTCAGAGATGCGCAGTTGTTTCAACAATACACCTATAGCAGGCCTTGTGTGCGTACTATTATATTAGAGACGTTAATTAGGACCTCGGCTTAGTTCATGTTTCTTTAGCGGATTTTATTGCGCTCTTCAAAGGTGTCCTTCGAAGCGAAGAGAGTCTCCGCTCCAACGCCGAAGGAAGAAGAGGATCCTGAGCCTCTTCTGGCTGACATGTTTGACAATATCTTCTCGAGAAGGGCAAGCTTTAAAGTGAAAGCTGAAATAGCAGAAAGAGAGCTATACCAAAAGCAGCTTAAAATGCTAAGTGAACGTGAGTATTGCCTCGTTTTCCAACTATATGCTAAAAAGGTAATCTTTCGTAAGTAGCGATATATATATATATATATCGCTACTTACGCTATATATATACACTAATAATTTACAATGCAATTTATTAAATTAATAAGCATCTGTAAGTCGGGAAAACACGTTAATTCATTGAGAATTCTTGTATTTGCACCTGAATAGCGTGTCCCCAATTCATGAAAGTAAATATTAATTCTGCATTATTCGTATGTAAAACATCTTCAGTAACACACAAAACTGAGCTTACGGACGAGGATAAGAAGAAACTGGAGTACATCGACGATAACCGTCGGGCTTATTTAAGTATGGATCCTCGAAAGACTAAAAGGTGAGGAATTATTTACAAGCAGTTTGCAAATTTCAGCGAAATACGTTGGGTTCCTAATTTGCTTGTGTATAAAGCCCTTATTCTTGATATTCAGGGGTGCCTCAAGGTTCGAATACGCGGAAACACAAAATACACTTTTCCGTCCTATCGCATTGAGCTTTTTTAGCTGTGGATTTTGCCTTAGGTCCCACCGGCGAAGAGTTCCCGGCACGGTAGGCTATTACGTTCACAGCAATGTACTTCACGAACGTTTATTTTATAGATAACCCATGAATGATTTGTATCGATTTGTCGAACCTTCAGTCATTGCTACTAGGCTATTCCCAATCAGTGTTTGTTTTACAATGAAAAAAAGCTCACATGTAAATACTAGCATTATTTTTTTTGTTACGAAACTGTGTGTCTGTTTTGTAGAGCAGACTCTGTCGGATCTGACGCTTTCGATGTCGACGACATATTTAGCCGCCGAGGAAGCTTTAAGATTAAAGCTGTGGAGTGTGAAGAAGAAATCAGGCGGCACTTCGAAGCTGGTTAGTGTTAGCATATTAAATATGAACTTCTCGTCTATCAGGCACCTAGTTAATATTTTATTTACTTTATATGGGGAGCGTTCTAACGACGAATTCCGTAGTAACTATACGGGCTCGAGGATGGTAGCCCTTTGGGACTGCTCTTGTTGGCTATTTTAAATCATATGCGCGAACTATATAGGAAGGAATTGGCAGTATTTATGATGTATCCATTATATGTACTTGGTCGTCAGATCTTCATAACGTTATACAATATTCCGCAGAGGTTCGTTCGATGTATGGGCTATCCTAGCTCTTCATAATTGTAGATCTCTGGTTTGATGAGTGTTATAAACCATATCAGTCTTAACAGGAACGAAGTAAGATACGATAATTATGATGACCCAATGATTTCACTTGTCGTTTTAGCTGCAGCTGGGGCAAGTGATCTGTCAACGGAATTGTTGTGTGCTATGAGGGCCATGAAGCAGGATGAACAGATCACTGGTAAGGGTAGTTGTATTGATATGTTATTTTTTTTGTGTGTACTTCTTCAAATCATAATAATAAACCTGGTGCGGAATGACCTTCCAAGGCTCAGCGTTTATCTAACTTGAGCAACAAAAAAAAAAACGAATCATAGAGCATAATACATGCTCGAAATGATATAATCAATTTAACTTTTACCTGTAAGCATAATATCTTTTAGCGAACTTACTTGTTTGGGATGTTTCAGGCTGAACATACAAAATGGCTAAGGCCATATCCTCAACTCACTACCAGGACAATGCATTTCGTAACTTTTTTGTATTAGATACATTATATATATATATATATATATATATAATAACGATTTGTATCCAGTTTAATTGTATCTACTAGGTGGCCATGATATCGTATCGTACGTCTTCAATCTATTAGCATTTTGTTATCCATACAACTGTCAGTAAAGCGAGCGTAGTCCACGTTCAACGCAGTAGTCGGTTTCTGGATTGTGTTACATTTGTTACACTGTTGTCTATTTGTTTATATTTTATATAATTTTTATATATAATTTATATAATTTCGACGCGCGTCGGATGAAACGCGCGCACTGCATCAAGTGAAATAATTTTTCAAAATTAACCTAATTACACCTAACCTAACCTAACCGTCCTCTAAATAGCGTCAAAACCCAGTGACATATCGGTCCCAAACGCGCCGCGGTGCACTGGTTGTGAGTTTAAAACCTCTCGCGATGACAGGGAAGTTGTCGCCGTCGTTGAGGTGTTTAAAAAGGTTGATGGTGCAATATGGCGACTTAAAAGGGAAGTCGAGACTCTACGAACACTCGAGGGAAAGACCCTAGAGGAGGTGTGCCCAGGACTAAATGACGTCCTTGATCAATTTATTAAAGAGATTTTAAGCTTCAAAGAAGCAAAAACAAAGAAAAACACCAAAGCGGCACAGGACTCTGATAAGGGTCAAAATGACGTCAAACAAGGGGCCAAACCAAAAAAAGAAATCTCTTTTTCCTGTAAGTGATACACCTAAATTTATGCATATATATATTCAAAAATTAATTTCTAGACATATAGTACTTTTTTTTTTAGGCATTTATCGTAATTTACTTCGGACCCCATTTATTTTTAGGTTTCCACCAATTGCTCGAATATAGTAGACTGTTACAAGCGAATTTGATAGAGTTTTCAATTGCATATCGCTGGTAGACGAAATTCGGCCGCTAAGTATCTCAGCCTTTTAGAAGCTTGCAGGTGGAAATCGGTCTAGTTTACCTCCTCATAAGTAAAAGCATTTCTTAATTCAGTAGTTTTTGTTCCTTGAATGCCATTGTGCTTCGGAAATCCGAAGATTGATGAAGACATTAGGCGAAAGAAACCCTAAACGAAAGCACACTGCGTCGATGGTGTAAACATTAGAAATATTTCTAAAAAAAAAACGACAATTAGAATGTTAAAAACCAGCGAAAGGTTTTGGAGATCACACGGAAGCGAGCAGCGCATTGCCACAATAGAAACGGCTTTCTACAAAGGCAGTCCACGGGGTCTGTCGGCCAAATTAGCCTTTTACACGTAATGTATTACATAAATATATCCCAAAAATGTATCTCTCGTGAATTTAAGCCGGGTAAAAATGCGTATGGTTCATTTTACGTGCCATTTGTAGAGTTTTAATTAGCAAAAAAAACGCCCGGATCACGGTCGCCATAAACGAGGCATCGTCTAATCTTCACTGTTAGCTGGAGAGGGATCAAGCGAGAGAACGGCCTGGCCTTGGAGAGAAGTCGGATTCATTAGCAATGTCGAGTAGGTTTAGACGTAAGGGGTGATAATATTTGCAAAGGACGTGAGGGGCGTCTGCAATCATGAAATGCTATCTCGAGTTCCTCAGAAGACTCATCGGCCGTTGACACAACAATCGTAAGCACGCAAGCTAGTTAATATTTCGACGGTGATGTCAGACATACTTCAAATACCTCCTGGATTGAGCAAAGGAATATCCAATGTCGGCTTCAACCCGATTGTTCCCTTGAGGTGCACGTAATTACAAGGCTTTTGATTGCCTAGAAAGAGTAACAGTGGACAAATATATTTCTTGATGGATTGCCTTGAGAAGCTGTCGATAAGGATCCTCTATCATTATCGACAATTACCTATATATAAATATAATAACAATCGATAATAATTACTGCTACGAATGATAGGTAGCTGTTTGCTGAAAGCTACCAAAGCGCTAGGCAAAATATATATGATGAGCACCTCGAACGCTTTATGGTAACTGCATAAAGTTTCGTTAGAGTGGTTATCAACTTCGGAGTGAGGAACTTACTTAAGCCGGAGAAGCGTCTAGCATATCTAGATGTCTGTTACAGCTGCGATTTGTTGGAGTAAACGAATACTCTAAGCAGTCTAATGCCTATGCACTTAGTATTTGTGCTTTCTTGCCCCACACGTTTCCTTGGTAGTAGGTATTAGCTAGGTATATTCAGCATGTCGGAATTGCATATCATATATCTGTACCATATATATCTGCAGACATACTGCGGGCTAGCTATAGTAACTTGTGATTTGATACAGTTATATATATATATATAATGTATAAAATAAACTTCACACCCCAATAACGTAGTATTATGATTGCCAATTATATTAGTAGAAATAAAGTGAGTATTAATAGGGCAATCATGATATTACGTTATTGGGATATGTGAATTTGAGTATGTGATAATAAAAACGTTAGAGTAAGCTTTCGACGCTTAGGCGACGTTGCCCATCGCACACGGTCGTGCATTGCACGCAGATATCGATGTATATTCGCATGAAATAACGACAACGTTACCTGTCGAATGGTATCCATCCCCATTCGCTCAATTTGCATGTGAACCGTTTTAGTGTGAATAGTTTTAGCTATTTTAAGCATTTCCAAAAACTCATTCGGGGCCTGGCTATTGCTCACGAAGACGTGTGATGTTAGGTGACCTGTGTTAAAAAGGCGTGTTTTTCTTACAGTGACCTCGCTACTGGAAACCACATTGGGAGAACAGACCCAGGATGGGACTAAGACGGGCTTCAAGAAAATCAAAGCGGTAGAAAATAACTATTTTTAATTTTCTCATATTAGAGATAAATCTGCAATGGTGGCTAAAACTAATGGTGTCCTGGTGAAAATAAGTGGAATGTATTGGACACGAGCAACAGCAGCAGCAGCAGCAGCAACAGCAGCAGCAGAAGCAGCAGGACAAACCTGAACAACTTAAAAATGGGGTGGGGGTGGCGCAAACGAACAGTAAGTTCGGAGTGTTTATATTGAGCTGAATCCCTAAACATAGCCTCGTAAGGAATGATCCAGAGAAGCTAACTAACGTTTTTCTCATTAAGCATTGTCACTGGAAGCTGGCTTTTACAAATCAGATAAATTATTCTCTGTAATTTATCGCTATAACTGTTAAGCTGCGTGCTTTAACCGTATTAGGATAACCACGCGTAAAAACTCCAAGGCTATACTCTAACATTCTTCGAAACACCGCTGGTCCAAGTAACGAAGATTACCCTATTTTTTTCTCATTTTCTATTTCAATGTTGCGGTTTATATATGCTTTTTAAGGCTAATTGTCGCACTAGGTGTGGCTCGTATTACACATACCGTCACCACCATCACCATAGAATATCTCCATTGTCTATAGAAACGTTTACTATACACTGGTTTATTTTAAGCAACCTCCAGATTTTTTTTGTCCAGGTACAGACTAATCCATGGAAGCCTTAGGCAGCCGAAAATTTGCTATGGTAAAATATCGAAACTTCGTTTTGAACGTCATAAAGGAAGTGGGTGCAATCTATTTGCATTATCCAATGAGAATGCTATTGATCTTGATTGATCGATCGTAATTTCAATTGTTAAGGGCAGCAAACGTGTTCTCTTGACAATATTATTATTTCCACTGCGTTATTATATTAAAATATATGTGTACATCTATGCATTACAGACGGAAGTACAAGGCAAACTCGGCATCGGCGTGTGGTTTGATGGGCCAAAAACTGATCTGACATACGCTGTTCCTAGTGTACCAGCTCTCGAGTCCACTGCCCGTACATCGACAAACCTGGAACCGGCTAAATCTAGACCAGCTGCCCTAGTGATGAGTGATGTGAAATTGTCCAATGCAGAATTAACGTTATCAAAATTTGCTGTAGAAGAATCGAAGGTCATTGAAGATAATAGATCGAAAACGGTCTCAAATCGCAATGGAGGAAAACCCGCGAGTATAAAATTTGCGAGGTCCGACGTTGTGAAACTCGCCAGCCGAATTCCCACTGCTCCGAAAATTAAAACTGCAAAATCAAGCTTTATAAATTTAAGTGAGAAAAAATCCATTAGTCCGCAGACAAAAGCTCCAAGACCAAGTGCTGTATACTTAAATGACAGAAAAGCGAGTGCTACTACCCGTTGGGCCATAACACCGGGCTTTGTATGTCCCAATGACAGGAAGCCGACTAATCCGCTAATGATTCCAACACCGACCGTGGTAAAGGCGGGGACTACAGAATTGCCCAAAATCCCGAGATCTAGATTTGTAAATTTGGAAGACAGCAGGTTGGTGGCCGGTCTCAAAACGGGTGGTCCGGAGACTGATATTGCAACAGATGTTCAAAATGCGTTTGCCACAGCTGCTCAAAATGTAGAAGTTTTAAGGCTCTTTTCTTCGGGGCATAGTCCAAATGCTGATGCCTCAAAGGCACTTTCCGTTGGTACAGCTAGGGCTGACGCCCTGATGAGGATATCTGGCGGCTCAACAAGTGCTCTGCTAGACGATGAAGCAACAAAGGTTGTGGCTTCAAAGAACAATGCACCGAAAATCACTGCTTCTAAAGTTCGCGCCTCCGCGGCAATTGTCCCAGAACCTAAAGTTGTGCATGATGTCACTCAAGAGACGGACGTCCCAAATATCATGGCTTCTAATATGGATATTTCAAAGGTTGCCGACTCTAAAAGCTCCGTTCTGAACGACCAAAACAACATCCGAGGGGGTGGCCTGGCAGCTTGTCCTTCGAGGGTAAGCACCTGTGAAACAGATTTGTCTAAAAATTACGCTTCGAAAGATAAGACTTTGTTTCAATGTCCTGAAGAGTACATTTTTTTCGAGTAATCATCTGGAAGCTAAGGACTTCACGTCGGAATCGGATGGAAGCGTCACATGCAGCGATTTTGCAGTGAAAAGGGCTTCAATAGATACACCTAAGTCGTACAATCCAAAGCCAGTCGTTCCAAAAATCGGTGGTACAAAGACCATCCTCTCGAGGGAAATTAACCCACTAGCCCACACTCCAGGAGCACTTATTCCGAGAACTAGCACTCCAAAAGCAGTTACCCCAAGCAGAGAAACGCAAAAAATGCGCCACCAAGTGACCAGTTCCCCGAATCTCTCTGCCACTTCCGAACCCGATTCAGCGAAGTTCGATAGTACGGAGGTCAATGCCTCCGTAAGCGACTATTTTTTCTGCATTTATGGGCGACGCTGTAGGTCTGGATCTGTGACAGAAATTAGCATGTCGAATCTCGAGGGCTTAAGAGGCAAGTTGAAGGCGAAGTAAGAAGACCCAACGAAGTTATGAAAAATTGTAATAAAGCAGCAGCCATGCATTGTGAATTAGGCGAACTTATTTATTCAATGGGTGAAAATAACTACATTTAGTAGTGAATCAGTTAGTAAAAAAAATAATTCAGTAGTGTACAAATAACAGAAACAGTCGGATTGCCTAAGTAAATTAGGAAGTTTAAGGGTAGAGTATACCACGTTAATTTTTGTGTGAACATTGAACATTTTTTGCGTGCTTTGCGTTCTCTACAACAAGGAAACTGCTAGCCGTTAAGTCGATGCGAAAGTTACAGATAGAGAAATGAAACTATGGCATCGATACCCCAAAAATTAGGTAGTAATATTATAATATTAATATTGGGGATGGATAGCCATTATAGCCTTATTTTCGCAAGATTTTTCCTAGCGAATGAATGTATAATTTGTATTTATCGCTTTAACTATCGTATCTTTACCTCTGCAACTCACATGCTTCCAGTAAAAGGTGAACTCGGTTTTCAAAATAAGGGCCACGTGTAATAAAAATGAAGACCCCAAAATTTCGTCCAAATAGACTCTTGTTTCTGTAAAGAAACGAGTGAAAAGTTCAAAATAAATACTCGTAATTTGTAAACTGGTATATACGTTTTTTTTTTATATAGACTAATATATCCAGTATATAAAATTATGTATTTGCATGCAAAGGAAGGTGTCCAAGCTGGGCACGGTCTCTGCTATTTTGAGAATTAATATACAGAGAACCAGATTAGCTCTGTTTGATTATAAAAAGCATTAGAATTAAACCTTATGTTGCACGAGAATTTTCTCTGCAATCTTGCAGAACTGAAGATGATCCTCGCCCATCTTTCAGTTAGCTTTTCAATTTTTCAGGTATAGAAAATAAGCTAGTAAATATAATTTTTGCCACGATCGGAAAAGGTGATAAGCGAAAATAATCAGGCCGGAAGTATGAAGTGGGTGAGACAACGCATCCGATAATTTTGAAGAAATTGTGAAGCTGGCAAATACGACACATGATTCTCTTTTCTATTGGCATTCGCAAGACGTAAAAGGGCGTCTATAAGCCAACAATATTGTCTTATTTAGATGGGATCAGGTACTCGTTTTTACTATGACGCACCCTATGTGGTATTATTGTGGATTATTCATTTTTCATTAAATTTTTCCAACGAGGTTGCCCTCGTTCAGTTCTAGCCCACGTTTATTTGTACACCAGTTGATGACCTGTCCAATCACATAGAACCCAGATGTCTGGTCGATCGATGTAGTCCTTGGTCATTTTCGTATTAACTCCTACTTATGTAGTCTGGATAAAACCCACATGTAGGTTCTGATCGAATACAATAAATACTAGACGAACCACGTTATATATCGGGAATCGGTCATCATATTATATTCCGCAAGCTTTTTTTCACGGGTTTGGGATGCAGTTGGCCCTTTCCAACCCACACAAGCCTTACATTCGTTTTTGACATCAGCATCTTTGAGGCTTTATGAGACTCAATTGAAGCGTGC